GGACAACAGTTTTGGTAATCCCGCACCTCCTCCTAACTTCCAAACTATGAATTCTCTGCATTATATTCACACCACACATTGCCCTCAGACATGACATCTCCACTGCCTCCAGCCTTCTCCTCGCTGCAACATTCATCACCCATGCTTCACACCCATATGAGCGTTGGTAAAACTATACTCTCATACATTCCCCTCTTTACCTCCAAGGACAAAGTTCTTTGTCTCCACAGACTCCTAAGTGCACCACTCACTCTTTTCCCCTCATCAATTCTATGATTCACCTCATCTTTCATAGACCCATCCGCTGACACGTCCACTCCCAAGTATCTGAATACATTCACCTCCTCCATACTCTCTCCCTCCAATCTGATATTCAATCTTTCATCACCTAATCTTTTTGTTATCCCCATAACCTTACTCTTTCCTGTATTCACTTTTAATTTTCTTCTTTTGCACACCCTACCAAATTCATCCACCAATCTCTGCAACTTCTCTTCAGAATCTCCCAAGAGCACAGTGTCATCAGCAAAGAGCAGCTGTGACAACTCCCACTTTGTGTGTGATTCTTTATCTTTTAACTCCACCTCTTGCCAAGACCCTCGCATTTACTTCTCTTACAACCCCATCTATAAATATATTAAACAACCACAGTGACATCACACATCCTTGTCTAAGGCCTACTTTTACTGGGAAAAAATTCCCTCTTTCCTACATACTCTAACTTGAGCCTCACTATCCTCGTAAAAAACTCTTCACTGCTTTCAGTAACCTACCTCCTACACCATACACTTGCAACATCTGCCACATTGCCCCCCCTATCCACCCTGTCATACGCCTTTTCCAAATCCATAAATGCCACAAAGACCTCTTTAGCCTTATCTAAATACTGTTCACTTATATGTTTCACTGTAAACACCTGGTCCACACACCCCCTACCTTTCCTAAAGCCTCCTTGTTCATCTGCTATCCTATTCTCCGTCTTACTCTTAATTCTTTCAATAATAACTCTACCATACACTTTACCAGGTATACTCAGCAGACTTATCCCCCTATAATTTTTGCACTCTCTTTTATCCCCTTTGCCTTTATACAAAGGAACTATGCATGCTCTCTGCCAATCCCTAGGTACCTTACCCTCTTCCATACATTTATTAAATAATTGCACCAACCACTCCAAAACTATATCCCCACCTGCTTTTAACATTTCTATCTTTATCCCATCAATCCTGGCTGCCTTACCCCCTTTCATTTTACCTACTGCCTCACGAACTTCCCCCACACTCACAACTGGCTCTTCCTCACTCCTACAAGATGTTATTCCTCCTTGTCCTATACACGAAATCACAGCTTCCCTATCTTCATCAACATTTAACAATTCCTCAAATAATGTTGCAATTTAAAAACTGTAGTGTAAAGCACCCTTCTGGCAAGACAGTGATGGAGTGAATGATGGTGAAAGTTTTTCTTTTTCGGGCCACCCTGCCTTGGTGGGAATCGGCCAGTGTGATAATAAAATAAAAAATAAAATAATTCCCTCCATCTTCCCAATACCTCTAACTCTCCATTTAATAACTCTCCTCTCCTATTTTTAACTGACAAATCCATTTGTTCTCTAGGCTTTCTTAACTTGTTAATCTCACTCCAAATCTTTTTCTTATTTTCAACAAAATTTGTTGATAACATCTCACCCACTCTCTCATTTGCTCTCTGTTTACTGCAAATGTCACCATTAAAGACACAGCATCAACAACACAGCCACTTGATACTGGAGTTCCGCAGGGAAGTGTCCTTGGTCCCCTGCTCTTCCTCATATACATCAATGATCTTCCAAACGTATCTCGACACCTGAACCCCATTCTCTTTGCTGACGACACGACTTATGTCATCTCTCACCCTAATCTTGCAACCCTCAACACCATTGTTAATGAGGAGCTGATCAAAATATCGACTTGGATAACAGCCAATAAACTTACGCTTAACGTTGACAAAACCTACTACATTATGTTTGGTAGCAGAGCAGGCGATGCGCAAATTAACATTAAGTTCGACAACACTCTAATTACCAGGCATAATGAGGGCAAATTCCTAGGCCTATACCTCGACAACAACCTGAACTTCAGCACCCATATCCAACACATAACCAAAAAAGTATCCAAAACGGTTGGGATCCTCTCCAAGATACGATACTACGTGCCGCAAACTGCCCTTCTCACACTATACCATTCACTTATATATCCATACCTCACCTATGCTATCTGTGCTTGGGGTTCAACTGCAGCAACACACCTAAAGCCAATAATAACCCAACAAAAAGCCTCAGTAAGAATAATCACTAAATCCCATCCCTGGCAACACAACCCCCCACTCTTCATAGATCTAAACTTACTCCCTGTTCAGTACATCCACACTTACTACTGTGCAATCTACATCTACAGGACCTTAAATTCCAATATTAACCTTGACCTAAAATGCTTTCTTGATAGTTGTGACAGAACCCACAGGCACAACACCAGACACAAACATCTCTATGACATTCCCCGTGTCTGACTAAACCTTTACAAAAATTCAATGTATGTCAAAGTCCCTAAAATCTGGAACACCCTACCTGAAAATTCCAAAACTGCAGACACATTCATCACCTTCAAAACTACCATCAGAAAACAACTTATCTCCCTGATACACCCTGTCAACTAATAATACGAATACCACCTGGTGGTTCACACTTACACTCACTCACCCATTTGACCATAAACAGAAATATCAATCTCGATCTCAAAATAATGAATCTTAACTAGTCAAAAGTTGGCCTGTGATACTCCAATACTGAAACTATGTATAGTGCCAAAACAAAAGCATTCACATCGCTAAACTCACAACTAGTATTTAGTCACTTAGCCATAATACCAACTTCTCATAATTCTGTAACATTTTAAACCTAATATTTAATATAAGTCTGCCCGAAATGCCTAGCCATGCTAGGCGTTCTAGTGGTACACTCTGTAATTATTATTTTACTACATGTAAACCACACAATAACCAAACTCTGTAAACTCAGCATTGTAATACTTATAGAGAATAAAGTTTGACAAGTTTGAATCTTCAAGCAGAGTATAGCACTTTGGATTTTTTGGGTTATCCTAGGTAATTTACATTATGTATACTTGCATTTATGTGTACCTGTGAGACAGAGAGACAGAGAGAAAGAGACAGACAGATTGAGAGAGATACAGAGACAGATACAGAGACAGATACAGAGACAGACACAGATAGACAGAGACAGATAGACAGAGATACAGACAGAGGAAGACAGAGATAGAGATAGACAGACCCTAAACTTGGGGTTAACATCACTTTCCTCTTAAAAGAGGAGTGTTAATATGACATTACATCAGTGAATCCTTGGTGTTCGCTGCAGTTTGCTCTAGCTGGCGCTCAATTTAACTGGCGCTCCCACAAGGTACTAAGTGGTCCCAGATTTTTTTCATAATGCGCACACTGAGTGTTAGGACCCATTCTATACTGACAAGGCATCTCAGGCTAATCATGCCAAATTTGAAAGCAGGAAAAATAATAAAACGTATATATACGTTTGGGGCGCAACGCATAAGAACGTATATACACATTTGGACCGTTTAAGGGTTAAGACTACAATATTTTAAGGTACGTAATGAGTGTACTGTGTGTGTATTTTACTTTTTATTGTTGTTTGATGCCTAGTTCTATTGCTAACTTTATATATGTTAGTGTAAACTCATTATGTGGTATTTACATGCATTTATAAGCAGAAAAAAAGCGTGTTCTGCTTTATGGAGATGTCCACTTCCCGGCAGTAGCCTGGAACCTAACCTGCCATATAAATGGGGCCCTATTGGATAGTATTAGCTGGAGTTGAGTCCTAGAGCCTGCAAAGAATAGTGCATGCACTCTAAAAAGGGGTGAAGATGTTGCTTTTCAAAGTCATCTGAACTATGATGTTAGCACATTCTGACAAGCCCAAAGATTGCACACAGAGTACAGACTTGGGGAACTTAAAAACTTTGGGGTGAACATAGTGCCTAGCATATTGACAGAGGTTCACTTCAACCAAATAACCTCTGAAGCCAATGCTCGTCTGACAAATCAAAGAGTAGCCTTCAGGAATCTCAACAATGTGTCATGCAGGGCCCTTTATACAACGTATGTCAGGCTCCTCTTGGAATATGCAGCACAGGTATGGAACCCACACCTGAAAAAGCATGTTAAGAAACTGGATAAAATGCAGAGGTATGCAATGAGCCTAGTTCCTGAGCTAAGGTGTATGAGCTATGAGAAAAAGAGTACTGGAATTGAATCTAATAATGCTGGAAGACTGAAGAAACAGGAAAGACATTATAATATGCAAAACACTAAAGAACTGATAGGCTAGACAGGGATAGGTAGTTTGAGAGCCAAGAAACAGGTACTTGGGGGCTCAGCTGGACACAGATGAGCCACAAGGTTGTCAGTATTTCTTCAGAGTGGTGAGGCAGTAAGGTACATCCAGATATGTGAGGCAGTAAGGTACATCCAGATATGTGAGGCAGTAAGGTACATCCAGATATGTGAGGCAGTAAGGTGTATCCAGAGATGTGAGGCTGAGGTGTATATCAAGAGATAAAAAGTGGGACAATAAATAATGGTCAAGAAAAACATGTTAATGGCTTGGACAAGTGCAGACAGAATCTTGCAAATATATACAAGAGCAAAGTACAAGTGGTTAGTAAAGAATGGGCAAACAATAATGAAGGATTACACAGAGGATGTCTCATGATGACATAAGAGGAATAGAGCAGGGTATATTATATTTAGAGGGGGATACCTCAGTGCTGAAACTGATAAAAATACTAATTTGATATGCACTTTTAATGCATTATAAAAAATAAAATATGTAGTGTACATTATAATACAAATGGCATTCACTTGACTGGGATACATGAATATTAGTATCCATTTTTCCAAACAGGGTAATATTTCTATTTGAATTTATGAATGATAGTATTTTTATTGTATAGTAGCGACAAGTAGAATACACGGTAAGTATATGTGAACACACAAGAATGTTACCAAATTTAAAAAAATCAATGAAGAAAAACTTATTCAGTTACCATTTTTATACAATGTAAAAAAAACTTGATTCTTTCCTAATGAAGGATCATTTAAAAGTGTGTATCCTTGAGTTGTTGAATTGACCCAAAATGTCACGACACAATGCAACTTTCAAGAGCTCTAACTGGATCTTCTTTGTTCATGAAAAATGCTGCAGATTGACTAAATATTATTGACCCTGTGCAAGTAGAAGAGCCACTGCACTCTCAGGCAAACATATCATTAGTGTGTGAAATCTTGTGTCCCAAAGTAAATACTGATGGAACTTGCTTTTATCATACTGAAGAAGTACACAGAATATATGAAAAATACTTAGGTAAATACAGTACTCACCTAATTTACATAAATGTCACAACAATTAGTTTTTAAAACTTGAAGACATTTTTATATTTCTACATTAGAATGAAGGAATGCAAAAGGCCTAATCATTTTTTGTCCATCAGTGTCTGCTCAAAAATGGCCATTTCTCTCATAAAAGGTGAAACAATCTTCCAGGTTACATGCCTTGGATTATCAAGTGAGACTAACAGAAATGACCATCAAACATACAAGTTCCCAGCAACATAAAATAGCATATGTAAGAATATTGAAATATTAATAATGAAATACTAATTAAATAAGAACATGACAATAGACAAAATGCGGGAGGAAATACGATTAAGAAAAGAAATCTATGATAAATAATATTTTCAAATATTGACCGTCAATGAATAGTGAAGTGACCGACTTTTCCCCACTTGTTAGTTTTATACAGTATTTTTTTCTTTTTTACACACCAGCTGTCTCTCACCATTTCAGGGTGACCTGAAAAAAAGAAGAAACACTTTCACCATCATTCACTATCACTGTCTTGCCAGATACTGAAATAATACTACAGTTCAGATGTCCCTCCAAACTGCAAATATCAGTACCATATTAAATAATTTACACATTACCCAGAGAATCATAGGGCGAAAGCAAACTCTGTACAAACAGTGCTACTGATAAATTTGCATGGAGTATAATGAATTAAATTTACAATATGAAATTTATGATGCAAGGTATATCTTCTCACTACAAATCCTTGGCCACTGTTCTTCCATCCAGTATGGCATTGATGTCGTCTGCATCTAAAGTTTCATACTTCATAAGAGCATCAGCTAGAGCTTTGTGTTCCCTGGCATGAGATTTCAAGATAGCTTTTGCTCGTTCATAAGATTCCTGTAACAGATCATATAAATTAATAAATTTGTTGACAGCTTTCTACTTCTTATACTAGAACATGAGGTTATAATTTTAGTGCGGGAAAGGCAAAACTCCACTTATGAAAGTAGGTCTGATATTATACTGATGAACAGAATGTAATTTACTGAATGCATTTTGTAAGGTAAAGAACTGCAATGTTGCTATTGTTTATAAGTATGAATATTGCTTCATTTCTATTTCATGGTGTGCTAGAGTTAATGTTTTTGGGAGCTTGAGTAATAGGCCTGAAAATGGAAGTTATATTTTTTGGTCAAAAGAGTACAGTAATGTTTTAATCCTGGATCATTGATTATAGGATTTTTTTTTTTTTACTTTTTAGTTTTTATAGACATGTATGGTATCCGCATTTCGTGCTTACCCAGTTGTTAGACCATGGTTACACCATGTGTGTTATTTAGCACTGGAAAAAATGTGGATAAGTGAGGAGCTTCTTGGAGTAGAAGTATAACTTTGATGGCTACATTGCTATAAAAATACTGAACATAGCCAACAGGCTAATAGTGAATGATGATTCAATGCAACTTTTTATTTTTAAACACATTTGTCATCTCCCACCAAGGAAGGGTGACTCAAAAAAGAGGAAACATCAATAATTTTCTTGCCAGAAGCATGCTGACATCACAGTTCAGATGTCAACATGCTTCTGACAGGACTCAAGTCTGGCTAACCAGTTTACCTGAATCCCTATATAATTTTTACCTTATTCACACTCCAACAGCACATCAAATCATAAAGGCCACTATACTTGTACAGATTATTAGTCATATTCATTATATTCTTATTGCTAATTTAAAATAGTACAAGTTGAAATAATGCACAGGTTATATATTTATTTATTATCAAACTGGCCGATTCCCACCAAGGCAGGGTGGCCCGAAAAAGAAAAACTTTCACCATCATTCACTCCATCACTGTCTTGCCAGAAGGGTGCTTTACACTACAGTTTTTAAACTGCAACATTAACACCCCTCCTTCAGAGTGCAGGCACTGTACTTCCCATCTCCAGGACTCAAGTCCGGCCTGCCGGTTTCCCTGAACCCCTTCATAAATGTTACTTTGCTCACACTCCAACAGCATGTCAAGTATTAAAAACCATTTGTCTCCATTTACTCCTATCAAACACGCTCACGCATGCCTGCTGGAAGTCCAAGCTCCTTGCACACAAAACCTCCTTTACCCCCTCCCTCCAACCTTTCCTAGGCCGACCCCTACCCCGCCTTCCTTCCACTACAGACTGATACACTCTTGAAGTCATTCTGTTTCGCTCCATTCTCTCTACATGTCCGAACCACCTCAACAAGACTTCCTCAGCCCTCTGGACAACAGTTTTGGTAATCCCGCACCTCCTCCTAACTTCCAAACTAGGAATTCTCTGCATTATATTCACACCACACATTGCCCTCAGACATGACATCTCCACTGCCTTCAGCCTTCTCCTCGCTGCAACATTCATCACCCATGCTTCACACCCATATAAGAGCATTGGTAAAACTATACTCTCATACATACCCCTCTTTGCCTCCAAGGACAAAGTTCTTTGTCTCCACAGACTCCAAGTGCACCACTCACCCTATTCCCCTCATCAATTCTATGATTCACCTTATCTTTCATAGACCCATCCGCCGACACGTCCACTCCCATATATCTGAATACATTCACCTCCTCCATACTCTCTCCCTCCAATCTGATATCCAATCTTTCATCACCTAATCTTTTTGTTATCCTCATAACCTTACTCTTTCCTGTATTCACTTTTAATTTTCTTCTTTTGCACACCCTACCAAATTCATCCACCAATCTCTGCAACTTCTCTTCAGAATCTCCCAAGAGCACTTGAGGTTCCTAAACCTGTATTCCCTGGAACGCAGGAGGGAGAGATACATGATTATATACACCTGGAAAATCCTAGAGGGACTAGTACCGAACTTGCACACGAAAATCACTCACTACGAAAGCAAAAGACTTGGCAGACGATGCACCATCCCCCCCATGAAAAGCAGAGGTGTCACTAGCACGTTAAGAGACCATACAATAAGTGTCAGGGGCCCGAGACTGTTCAACTGCCTCCCAGCACACATAAGGGGGATTACCAACAGACCCCTGGCAGTCTTCAAGCTGGCACTGGACAAGCACCTAAAGTCAGTTCCTGATCAGCCGGGCTGTGGCTCGTACGTTGGTTTGCGTGCAGCCAGCAGCAACAGCCTGGTTGATCAGGCTCTGATCCACCAGGAGGCCTGGTCACAGACCGGGCCGCGGGGGCGTTGACCCCCGGAACTCTCTCCAGGTAAACTCCAGGTAAGCACAGTGTCATCAGTAAAGAGCAACTGTGACAACTCCCACTTTGTGTGTGATTCTTTATCTTTTAACTTCACGCCTCTTGCCAAGACCCTCGCATTTACTTCTCTTACAACCCCATCTATAAATATATTAAACAACCACGGTGACATCACACAGCCTTGTCTAAGGCCTACTTTTACTGGGAAATAATTTCCCTCTTTCCTACATACTCTAACTTGAGCCTCACTATCCTCGTAAAAACTCTTCACTGCTTTCAGTAACCTACCCCCTACACCATACACCTGCAACATCTGCCACATTGCCCCCTATCCACCCTGTCATATGCCTTTTCCAAATCCATAAATGCCACAAAGACCTCTTTAGCCTTATCTAAATACATACACAGGTATGTATAAAAATCAGTCTCACACATCTTAAGTTTAAAAAATTTTAAACAAAGCATCATTATTAATGGCGGCATTAGCAAATGAACATGACGAGAAATATGACACTGTGGATATGAGGCTCAGGTTAGGGTTATGTAGGAGAGAAGGGGATTATTTTTCAATAAAAATTGGCCTTAGATAGGGATATGTGATGTCACCATGCTTGTGTAACATACATGTACGTACAGATGGGGATGTAAAAGAAGTGAACATTGGTATGAGGTGTGAGATTAAAAAATAACAAATTTGATATAAAGTGGGAGTTGTCACAATTGGATTTTGGTGTTGACACAGTTCTTGTGGGAGATTCTAAGAGAAGTTGCAAAGGTTGGTAGACAAATTTTGGAAGGTATATAAAAGAAGGAAATTAAAAGTGAACATGGGAAACAGCAAAGTAATGAGAATAACAAAAAATCTAGGAAAGGAGAAATTGGATATCAAACTGGATGTAAAGAGTATGGAAGAAGTGAATGTGTTTAGATGTTACTTAGGTATGAACTTGTCGGCAGTGGGTCTAAGAAAATTAAGGTGAACCATAAAACTGACAAGAAAAAAAGGGCGGGTGATGTAATAAGGCAGTTGTGGTGACAGAATCTTTTCCAGAGAAGCAAAAAGGGAAATGTACTAGAGCATGGTGGTACTAACACTATTACAGTGGACCCCCGCTTTACGATCACCTCCCAATACGACCATTTATGTAAGTGTATTTATGTAAGTGCGTTTGTACGTGTATGTTTGGGGGTCTGAAATGGACTAATCTAATTCACAATATTCCTTATGGGAACAAATTCGTTCAGTACTGGCACCTGAACATACTTCTGGAATGAAATAATATCGTAAACTGGGGGTCCACTGTATACGGGTGTGAAAAATGGATTTTAAGTGTCACATCGAAGAAGTAGTTGGAGGTAAAAGATGTGTTCTTTGAGGGCAATGTGGGGGCAAGAATATTATGTGGGGTTAAACATAAGAACATTAGAATGGAGGAACACTGCAGCAGGCCTACTGGCCCATACAAGGCAGGTCCTTATCATGTATTTGTCTAACTTTTTTCCAAGGCTACCTAGGATAGCAGATGAACAAGGAGGCTTTAGGAAAGGTAGGGGGTGTGTGGACCAGGTGTTTACAGTGAAACATATAAGTGAACAGTATTTAGATAAGGCTAAAGAGGTCTTTGTGGCATTTATGGATTTGGAAAAGGCGTATGACAGGGTGGATAGGGGGGCAATGTGGCAGATGTTGCAAGTGTATGGTGTAGGAGGTAGGTTACTGAAAGCAGTGAAGAGTTTTTACGAGGATAGTGAGGCTCAAGTTAGAGTATGTAGAAAAGAGGGAAATTTTTTCCCAGTAAAAGTAGGCCTTAGACAAGGATGTGTGATGTCACCGTGGTTGTTTAATATATTTATAGATGGGGTTGTAAGAGAAGTAAATGCGAGGGTCTTGGCAAGAGGGGTGGAGTTAAAAGATAAAGAATCACACACAGGGTGGGAGTTGTCACAGCTGCTCTTTGCTGATGACACTGTGCTCTTGGGAGATTCTGAAGAGAAGCTGCAGGAGATTGGTGGATGAATTTGGTAGGGTGTGCAAAAGAAGAAAATTAAAGGTGAATACAGGAAAGAGTAAGGTTATGAGGATAACAAAAAGATTAGGTGATGAAAGATTGAATATCAGATTGGAGGGAGAGAGTATGGAGGAGGTGAACGTATTCAGATATTTGGGAGTGGACGTGTCAGCGGATGGGTCTATGAAAGATGAGGTGAATCATAGAATTGATGAGGGAAAAAGAGTGAGTGGTGCACTTAGGAGTCTGTGGAGACAGAGAACTTTGTCCTTGGAGGCAAAGAGGGGAATGTATGAGAGTATAGTTTTACCAACGCTCTTATATGGGTGTGAAGCATGGGTGATGAATGTTGCAGCGAGGAGAAGGCTGGAGGCAGTGGAGATGTCATGTCTGAGGGCAATGTGTGGTGTGAATATAATGCAGAGAATTTCATAGTTTGGAAGTTAGGAGGAGGTGCGGGATTACCAAAACTGTTGTCCAGAGGGCTGAGGAAGGGTTGTTGAGGTGGTTCGGACATGTAGAGAGAATGGAGCGAAACAGAATAACTTCAAGAGTGTATCAGTCTGTAGTGGAAGGAAGGCGGGGTAGGGGTCGGCCTAGGAAGGGTTGGAGGGAGGGGGTAAAGGAGGTTTTGTGTGCGAGGGGCTTGGACTTCCAGCAGGCATGCGTGAGCGTGTTTGATAGGAGTGAATGGAGACAAATGGTTTTTAATACTTGGCGTGCTGTTGGAGTGTGAGCAAAGTAACATTTATGAAGGGATTCAGGGAAACCGGCAGGCCGGACTTGAGTCCTGGAGATGGGAAGTACAGTGCCTGCACTCTGAAGGAGGGGTGTTAATGTTGCAGTTTAAAAACTGTAGTGTAAAGCACCCTTCTGGCAAGACAGTGATGGAGTGAATGATGGTGAAAGTTTTTCTTTTTCGGGCCACCCTGCCTTGGTGGGAATCGGCCAGTGTGATAATAAAAAAAAAAAAAATAATAACCCCAGACACCAATCAAGCTCAGCCCCTTCCACTCACATATCTGTCCAATCTCTTTTTAAGGCTACCCAAGGTCTTAGCCTCTATTACCCTGCTCGGAAGACTGCTCCACACATCAACAACTTGAAAAGTATTATTCAGAGGGCGGAGGAATTGTTGAGGAGGTTTGGACACAGAGAGGATGGAAAAAATAGGATGATTAGGAAGGGCATATAAATCTGGAATGGAGAGAAAGAGGGGAAGGGATTGTCTCAGGAAGGGTTGAGGAAGGGGGTAAAGGAGGTACTGATGCTAGGAGCTGGACATTGAACAAGCCTGTGCAATTGTATTCGATAGGAGTGGAGGCAAGTGGTTTTTATGATTTGACATGCTGCTGAGTGTGAGCACAGTAACATTTATGAAGGGATTCAGGGAAAACTGGATTCGAGTCCCAGAGGTGGGAACCAAAATCCTGAACGCTATCACTATATGTTCTAAACATCAAAAATGACCTTGGATAAAGAAAGTATTATGACTGGTTGTGACACGTTAAAGAGTTTTGTTCTAGCCAATAACAGTTTCACATGAAGTGGAGTAATGTTTAATGTAACAAGGCACAAGTCTTCATGTATCTCATTCAATCTCACCATCCAGACCGGAACCCCTTCCTCTTTATGTCTCTTCCCTGAAGCAATGTGACTTATGAGCATATATTTTAATGTTCCATTCTGAGATAGAAATGGACTCAAGCTAGGTACATATAGGGTAATGGAGGAAAAGATGCGAGGCTGAAAAAGCCTGGAACTGAAAACAAATAATGCACCAGTGTGAATGCATTTCCATTCCTGGTTCTTATTCAACAGACCTGATAAGGCTCATATTGAGTGGAATATTATCTCCAATAAAAACTTATCCTTATTTCTTTTCATAAAAACAGTTACCAACTTATGCTTAGCTTATAAAATCAAGCCTGTTAATTATATTGAAACATTAATATATGATACACTATATACGGTTAGATGTAATTAGGTGCAGAAACTGATGTAAGGAAACTTTCTGATCTTAAACATGTAAACCATTTAATTAATATGAACAACAACCAGTCACATATTTTACATGCTTTCCCAGAAGCCTCTGCTCAAAACATTTGGACTATGCACCAGATTAAATATATCTGTGATGTGTGTCATATATGTATCAATGATCAAAAAACACAGTTTGCATCATATGGAACTGTTGCTCACTGCTAAGACAAAATAAAGTGCTACTAATAAATCACAATTTAAATGGGAGTTTTTTATATTATCTTTCAACAATACCAGTTATACAAAGTAATAAAATTCAGAATATACTTACTTGCAACAATCTCTTAATTTCTAAATCAATTGCTTCTTTGGTTGACTGTCCAAGTGAGTCACCTGTGCTGATGAGCTGACCAGTGTTATCTTCAAATGTTCGGAGTCCTACCCGCTCACTCATGCCCAGGTCTTTTACCATGTGAGTGGCAATGCTGGTTGCTTGCTATTACAGCAAAAAAATTTATCATGATTTCATTTCTATAATAAAAACAAAATTAATGAGCTTTTCTTCAATATTACTTCATGACAGGATTAAAACTAGACTAGTGGTATGAGATTATGAAATGTTGAAGACCCATTAAACTTTCAGAAAGAAAAATTTTAAATGAAGTCCTCTAAACTAGGAAAAATGAAGGATAATTTTCTTTTTTTTTAACAAGTTGGCAGTCTCCCACCGAGGCAGGGTGACCCAAAAAGAAAGAAAATCCCCAAAAAGAAAATACTTTCATCATTATTCAACACTTTCACCTCACTCACACATAATCACTGTTTTAGCAGAGGTGCTCAGAATACAACAGTTTAGAAGTATATACGTATAAAGATACACAACAAATCCCTCCAAACTGCCAATATCCCAAACCCCTCCTTTAAAGTGCAGGCACTGTACATCCCATTTCCAGGATTCAAGTATGGCTATATAAAAATAACTGGTTTCCCTGAATCCCTTCACTAAATATTACCCTGCTCACACTCCAACAGCTTGTCAGGTCTCAAATACCATTCGTCACCATTCACTCCTATCTAACATGCTCACGCACGCTTGCTGGAAGTCCAAGCCCCTCGCCCACAAAACCTCCCTTACCCTCTCCCTCCAACCTTTTCAAGGAGGACCCTTACCACGCCTTCCTTCCCCTACAGATTTATACGCTCTCCAAGTCATTCTACTTTGATCCATTCCCTCTAAATGACCAAACTACCTCAACAACCCCTCTTCAGCCCTCTGACTAATACTTTCATTAACTCAACACCTTCTAATTTCCATACTCCGAATCTTCTGCATAATATTTACACCACACATTGCTCTTAGACAGGACATCTCAACTGCCTCCAACCGTCTCCTCGCTGCAGCATTTACAACCCAAGCTTCACACCCATATAAGAGTGTTGGTACCACTATACTTTCACAGAGTCCCTTCTTTGCCTCCATAGATAACGTTTTTTGTCTCCACATATACCTCAACAGACCACTTGCCTTTTTTCCTTCATCAATTCTATGATTAAGCTCATCCTTCAAAAATCCATCCGCTGACACATCAACTCCCAAATATCTGAAAACATTCACTTCTTCCATACTATTCCTCTCCAATTTGATATCCAATTTTTCTTTATCTAAATCATTTGATACCCTCATCACCTTACTCTTTTCTATGTTCGCTTTCAACTTTCTACATTTACACACTCTCCCAAACTCATCCACTAACTTTTGCAATTTTTCTTTAGAATCTCCCATAAGCACAGTATCATCAGAAAAAAGTAACTGTCAATTCCCATTTTGTATTTGATTCCCCATAATTTAATCCCACCCCTCTCTCGAACACCCTAGCATTTACTTATTTTACAACCTCATCTATAAATATATTAAACAACCATGGTGATATTACACATCCCTGTCTATGACCTACTTTTACTGGGAAGTAGTCTCCTTCACTTCTATACACCGTAACCTGAGCCTCACTATCCTCATAAAAACTCTTTACAGCATTTAGTAACTTACTACATATTCCATATACCTTCAACATGTGTCACATTGCTCCCCTATCCACTATCATATGCCTTTTCTAAATACATAAATGCAATGAAAACTTCCCTACCTTTATCTAAATACTGTTTACATATATGCTTCAATGTAAACACTTGATCTACACATCCTCTACCCACTCTAAAACCTCCTTGCTCATCCGCAATCCTACATTTTGTCTTACCTCTAATTCTTTCAATAATAACTATACTGTACACTTTTCCTGGTATACTACGTAAGCTAATTCCTCTATAATTTTTACAATCTCTTTTGTCCCCATTCCTTTTATATAAAAGAACTATACAGTGGACCCTCGACCAACAATGGCATTGATTAATGATAAATCCGACTAGCGATACATTAACGCAAAATTTTTGCTTCGACTAGCGCTAAGAAACTCGACCAACACTATTTGTTCCGTCAGACGCGTCCACTTCTGGCCAGTGTTTACAAGCCAGCCAGCCACCGCGGTCGCTTCCAAGCATACAATCGGAACATTTCATGTTATCACAGCCATTTTAGTGATTGCACCTGCAAAATAAGTCACCATGGGCCCCAAGAAATCTTCTAGTGCCAACCCTACAGCAAAAAGGGGGAGAATTACTATGGATATGAAGAAAGAGATCATTGCTAAGTATGAAAGCGGAGTGCGTGTCTCCGAGCTGGCCAGGCTGTGCACAAAACCCCAATCAACCATCGCTACTATTGTGGCCAAGAAAACGGCAATCAAGGAAGCTGTTCTTGCCAAAGGTGCAACTATGTTTTTGAAACTGAGATCGTAAGTACTCGAAGATGTTGAGAAACTGTTATTGGTGTGGATAAACGAAAAACAGATAGCAGGAGATAGCATCTCTCAAGCGATCATATGTGAAAAGGCTAGGAAGTTGCATGAAGATTTAATGAAAAAAATGCCAGCAACTAGTGGTGATGTGAGTGAATTTAAGGCCAGCAAAGGTTGGTTTGAGAGATTTAAAGGGAAGGGAAGTAACCCCAGAAAAGGACTTGCCACCTCAAGTCCTAATGGAAGGGGATTCCCCTTCTAAACACTAAGACCATCAACACTCTCCCCTCCTCCCATCCCAACAATCATCACCAGATCTTCAATAAAGGTAAGTGTCATGTAACTGTGCATGTCTTCTTCAGTTTGTGTGTATTAAAATTAATATTTCATGTGGTAAAAACAATTTTTTTATTCATACTTTGGGGTGTCCTACACGGATTAATTTGATTTCCATTATTTCTTATGGGGAAAATTAACTTGACTAACGATAATTTTGACTAACGATGAGCTCTCAGGAATGGATTAATAGCGTTAGTCAAGGGTCCACTGTATATGCTCTCTGCCAAACCCTAGGTACCTTCCCCTCTTTCATACATTTATTAAACAAAAATACAAACCACTCTAACACTAGATCCCCCCCCCCCCACTTTTAACATTTCTGTCATGATCCCGTCAGTTCCAGCTGCTTTACCCCTTTTCATTCTACGTAATGTCTAACGCACCTCCCCCACACTCACATCCTGCTCTTCTTCACTCCTCAAAGATTGTATACCTCCCTTGGCCAATGCATGAAATTACTGCCTCCCTTTCTTCGTCGACATCTAAAAGTTCCTCAAAATATTCCCACCATCTACCCAATAACTCCATCTCCCCATCTACTAACTCCTCTACTCTGTTTTTAACTGACAAATCCATTCATTCCCTAGGCTTTCTTAACTTGTTTAACTCACTCCAAAATTTTTTCTTATTTTCATTAAAATTTCTTGACAGTGCCTCTCCCACTCTATCATTTGCTCACCTTTTGCACGCTCTCACCACTCTCTTCACCTTTCTTTTACTCTCCATACACTCTGCTCTTCTTATAACACTTCTGGTTTGTAGAAACCTTTTTCTCTTTTATCACACCCTTTACTTCATCATTACACCAATCACTCCTCTTTCCTCCTGCACCCACCCTCCTATAACCACAACTTTCTACCCCACATTCTAATACAGTGGACCCCCGACTTACGATGACCTCAACCTACGATAAAACAGACTTACGATGCTTGTCAGCGTAAAAATTTGGCCCCAGCCTACGTTGAAAAACTAGACTTACATCATTCGTCCCGAACGTGGCCGTCTGGTCCGTCTGGCCTGAGCGCCTCAGCTGAGCTAGTGTGACATTGTTTACAAGCCAGGGCGGATGGTTGCATGCATACATTCGATAAATTTTGTATTATTCCAGTGTTTTTAGTGCCTGTAACTGCTAAATAAGCCACCATGGGTCCAAACCAAAGAAAGCTTCTAGTGCCAACCCTGTGGTAAAATGGGTGAGAAGTACTATCGAAATACTATTGTACCACGGTCAGCTGTACTACTCGACGATGTGGTGTGGTGTGGCTTATCGAGAATACCAAGAAACAATTAACCCCAGAGGGTTAGCCACCCAGGATAACCCAAGAAAGTCAGTGTGCCATCAAGGACTGTCTAACTTATTTCCATTGGGGTCCTTAATCTTGTACCCCAGGATGCGACCCACACCATTCGACTAACACCCAGGTGAACAGGAAAAAATGCCTGGAACTAGTGCTCATATTGGTGAATTTAAGGCCAGCAAAGGTTGGTTTGAGAGATTTAAGAATCGTTGTGGCATACACAGTGTGATAAGGCCTGTTCTGGAAGAAAATGCCAAACAGGACCTACATTACTCAGGAGGAAAAGGCACTCTCAGGACACAGTGTCTCATCACTCATCAGAACATCTTCAATAAAGGTAAGTGTCATTTATTCTTCATTTAGTACACTAGTACATGCACAATATATATTGTGCATGTATCCTTCTTTTTGTGTGTAGGAAAATGTACATTTCATGTGGTAAAAAATTTTTTTTTCATACTTTTGGGTGTCTTGAAAAGATTAATTTGATTTCCATTATTTCTTATGGGGAAAATTAATTTGACTTACGATAATTTTGTCTTACAATGTGCTCTCTGGAACGGATTAATATTGTAAGTCGGGGTCCACTGTACTGCATTTTTAAAACTATTCCAACCCTCTTCAACCCCCCACTACTCATACTTGCAATAGTCCACCTTTCTGCCAATAGTTGCTTATATCTCACCTGAACTTTCTCCTCCCTTAGTTTATACACTTTCACCTCTGTCTTACTTGCTGTTGCCATTTTCCTCTTGTCCCATCTACCTCTTACTCTAACTGTAGCTACAACTAAATAATGATCCGATATATCAGTTGCCCCTCTATAAACATATACATCCTGGAGCCTACCCATCAACCTTTTATCCACCAATACATAATCTAACGAACTACTTTCATTAAGTGCTGTATCATACCTTGTATATTTATTTATCCTCTTTTTCATAATATGTATTACTTATTACCAAACCTCTTTCTACACATAGCTCAATTAAAGGCTCACCATTTTTATTTACCCCTGGCACCCCAAATTTACCTACTACTCCCTCCACAACATTTTCACCCACTTAAGCATTGAAATCCCAACCACAAGTACTCTCACACTTGGTTCAAAACTCCCCATGCATTCATTCAACATTTCCCAAAATCTCTCTCCTCTACACTTCTTTCTTCTCCAGGTGCATATACGCTTACTGAAACCTACTTTTCACATCCAGCCTTTATTTTACTCCACATAATCCTTGAATTAATACATTTATACTTTCTCTTTTCCTGCCATAGCTTATCCTTCAACATTATTGCTACTCCTTCTTTAGCTCTAACTCTATTTGAAACCCCTGACCTAATCCCATTTATTTCTCCCCACTGGAAATCTCCCACCCCCTTCGGCTTTGTTTCACTTAAAGCCAGGACATGCAGCTTCTTCTTATTCATAACGTCTACAATCATTCTTATCATTCGCACAACATCCACGCACATTCAGACATCCTACTTTGACAATTTTCTTATTATTCTTTTTAGTAATTATTACAGGAAAAGGGGTTACTAGGCAATTGTTCCCAGCATTTAAGTTGACTTTTACAACACACATGGCTTACGGAGGAAAGATTCTTATTCCACTTCCCCATGGATATAAAAGGAAAAGTAATAAGAACAAGAACTATTAAGATAAAAATCAAAGAAAACTCAGATTTTTTTTTTTCAACAAACTGGCTGTATCCCACCAAGGCAGGGTGGCCCAAAAAGAAAAACGAAAGTTTCACTTTTTAAATTTAGTAATTTATACAGGAGAAGGGGTTACTAGGCTCTTGCTCCCGGCATTTTAGTCACCTCTTACAACATGCATGTCTTACGGAGGAAGAATTCTGTTCCACTTCCCCATGGATATAAGAGGAAATAAACAAGAACAAGAACTACAAAGAAAATAGAAGAAAACCCAGAGGGGTGTGTATATATATGCTTGTACATGTATGTGGATTGTGATCTAAGTGTAAGTAGAAGTAGCAAGACATACCTGTACGTAATCTTGCATATTTGTGAGAGACAAAAGATACCAGCAATCCTACCATCACGTAAAACAATTACAGGCTTTCGTTTTACACTCACTTGGCAGGACAGTAGTACCTCCCTGGGTGGTTACTGTCTACCAACCTACTACCTACAAACATTTAACAAGATGAAATGTCTGAATGAGTGAAAAGGTTACAATTAACACTACCTTTAGATCAGAAGACGAACCAGAAGTCACCATATCATTTCCAAAAATTAATTCTTCTGCTGCTCTGCCACCCATTAGGGAGTCCATGGTAGCCAACATCTGACTTCGAGTCATGTGGTACTGTTCTTTAGCTGGGATGTATGCAGTCTGTCAAAATATTTAAACAATTATGAATTACGGTTAAACAATTAGAAAACTAAGACAAAATAAAATACACGTACTGTGGAACCTCTACTTGCGAGCACATCCACGTGAGAGTTTTTCCAAATACGAGCAGTTGATGGGTTGATTTTTTGCTTCCATACGCGAGCAAAATTTCCACAAGCGAGCAGACCTCAAGGGAGGTTCCTTGACGCTGGTGAGGGGCTCTTGCTCTTGATCTATGGAATTGTATCTCATTTGTTTGTTGGACTATCTTATTGTAACTTGGGCAATGTATGATGGAAAGATGCTCCTTAATGTACACCAAAAACGAAAGAAATTTTAAGCATAAATAATGGAGTTCAGTTCTCAGCAATTAGCCACCCCTTAGCAATATTTTCATTTGGCTTTTGTGGCTGTATTCTCGTTTTTCTTGGTCTCATTTGATAGAATGGAAGGTATAATACAGAAACAGATATGATTTTGATTGCGTTCATGACGAAAAGTACCTTGAAACTGAGCTCAACGAGGGAGAAATGCTCGTTTGCTTGACTATGTTCAAGAGTAAACAAATGACGTCACTGTCCATTCCAATATGCAGTCGTGAATGGGTTGACATTATTTATACACTTATTGCAATAAGGCATAACAGTAAATATTATATTTTTTGTGTGAATAAAATTAAATTATTTATTATTTTATATTATTTTTTATTATCACACTGGCGGATTCCCACCAAGGCAGGGTGGCCCGAAAAAGAAAAACTTTCACCATCATTCACTCCATCACTGTCTTGCCAGAAGGGTACTTTACACTACAGTTTTTAAACTGCAACATTAACACCCCTCCTTCAGAGTGCAGGCACTATACTTCCCATCTCCAGGACTCAAGTCTGGCCTGCCGGTTTCCCTGAACCCCTTCATAAATGTTACTTTGCTCACACTCCAACAGCACGTCAAGTATTAAAAACCATTTGTCTCCATTCACTCCTATCAAACACGCTCACGCATGCCTGCTGGAAGTCCAAGCCCCTCGCACACAAAACCTCCTTTACCCCCTCCCTCCAACCTTTCCTAGGCCGACCCCTACCCCGCCTTCCTTCCACTACAGACTGATACACTCTTGACGTTATTCTGTTTCGCTCCATTCTCTCCACATGTCCGAACCACTCAACAACCCTTCCTCAGCCCTCTGGACAACAGTTTTGGTAATCCCGCACCTCCTCCTAACTTCCAAACTACGAATTCTCTGCATTATATTCACACCACACATTGCTCTCAGACATGACATCTCCACTGCCTCCAGCCTTCTCCTCGCTGCAACATTCATCACCCATGCTTCACACCCATATAAGAGCGTTGGTAAAACTATACTCTCATACATTCCCCTCTTTGCCTCCAAGGACATAGTTCTTTGTCTCCACAGACTCCTAAGTGCACCACTCACCCTTTTCCCCTCATCAATTCTATGATTCACCTCATCTTTCATAGACCCATCCGCTGACACGTCCACTCCCAAGTATCTGAATACATTCACCTCCTCCATACTCTCTCCCTCCAATCTGATATCCAAACTTTCATCACCTAATCTTTTTGTTATCCTCATAACCTTACTCTTTCCTGTATTCACTTTCAATTTTCTTCTTTTGCACACCCTACCAAATTCATCCACCAATCTCTGCAACTTCTCTTCAGAATCTCCAAGAGCACAGTGTCATCAGCAAAGAGCAACTGTGACAACTCCCACTTTATGTGTGATTCTTTATCTTTTAACTCCACGCCTCTGGCCAAGACCCTCGCATTTACTTCTCTTACAACCCCATCTATAAATATATTAAACAACCACGGTGACATCACACATCCTTGTCTAAGGCCTACTTTTACTGGGAAAAAATTTCCCTCTTTCCTACATACTCTAACTTGAGCCTCACTATTCTCGTAAAAACTCTTCACTGCTTTCAGTAACCTACCTCCTACACCATACACCTGCAACATCTGCCACATTGCCCCCCTATCCACCCTGTCATATGCCTTTTCCAAATCCATAAATGCCACAAAGACCTCTTTAGCCTTATCTAAATACTGTTCACTTATATGTTTCACTGCAAACACCTGGTCCACACACCCCCTACCTTTCCTAAAGCCTCCTTGTTCATCTGCTATCCTATTCTCCGTCTTACTCTTAATTCTTTCAATAATAACTCTACCATACACTTTGCCAGGTATACTCAACAGACTTATCCCCCTATAATTTTTGCACTCTCTTTTATCCCCTTTGCCTTTATACAAAGGAACTATGCATCCCTAGGTACCTTACCCTCTTCCATACATTTATTAAATAATTGCACCAACCACTCCAAAACTATATCCCCACCTGCTTTTAACATTTCTATCTTTATCCCATCAATCCCGGCTGCCTTACCCCCTTTCATTTTACCTACTGCCTCACGAACTTCCCCACACTCACAACTGGTTCTTCCTCACTCCTACAAGATGTTGTTCCTCCTTGCCCTATACACGAAATCACAGCTTCCCTATCTTCATCAACATTTAACAATTCCTCAAAATATTCTCTCCATCTTCCCAATACCTCTAACTCTCCATTTAATAACTCTCCTATTTTTAACTGACAAATCCATTTGTTCTCTTGGCTTTCTTAACTTGTTAATCTCACTCCAAAACTTTTTCTTATTTTCAACAAAATTTGTTGATAACATCTCACCCACTCTCTCATTTGCTCTCTTTTTACATTGCTTCACCACTCTCTTAACCCCTCTCTTTTTCTCCATATACCCTCTTCCATACATTTATTAAATAATTGCACCAACCACTCCAAAACTATATCCCCACCTGCTTTTAACATTTCTATCTTTATCCCATCAATCCCGGCTGCCTTACCCCCTTTCATTTTACCTACTGCCTCACGAACTTCCCCACACTCACAACTGGTTCTTCCTCACTCCTACAAGATGTTGTTCCTCCTTGCCCTATACACGAAATTACAGCTTCCCTATCTTCATCAACATTTAACAATTCCTCAAAATATTCTCTCCATCTTCCCAATACCTCTAACTCTCCATTTAATAACTCTCCTATTTTTAACTGACAAATCCATTTGTTCTCTTGGCTTTCTTAACTTGTTAATCTCACTCCAAAACTTTTTCTTATTTTCAACAAAATTTGTTGATAACATCTCACCCACTCTCTCATTTGCTCTCTTTTTACATTGCTTCACCACTCTCTTAACCTCTCTCTTTTTCTCCATATACTCTTCCCTCCTTGCATCACTTCTACTTTGTAAAAACTTCTCATATGCTAACTTTATAAATAATAATAATAATAAGATATATACATAATAATAATAATAATACAGTGGACCCCCGCATAACGATATTATTTCAATCCAGAAGTCTGTCTGGGTGCCGTTATAGACCGAATTTGCTCCCATAAGAAATATTGTGAATTAGATTAGTCCTTTTCAGACCCCTAAAAATACACCTACAAAAGCACTTACAAAAATAAACTTACATAATTGGTCGAGTTGGGAGCTGACCGTTATCCGGGGGTCCACTGTACATATAATAATAATAGTACAATAATATAATACAATAATAATAATAATAATACGTATAATAATATATAATAATAATGTACTACATAATAATAATAATTATAATAACAGATGGCTTCAAAAGGCCGTCACTAGATGGCAGTGTTTACCACAACAAAGAGGGAGCGGTTGTGGCCGCCTCCACCTGTTACATAATGACATATTTTATTCATTCTAGAGTATGTATCAGGTTTCTATGTTATTTATATTGTTTATTATTTCATATTAGATGAAGTGTGATAAATAAATAAGCCATAGAGTTGATGATAGTGAAATATTCAAGGAGTATTTTGTCCTGTCTCCAAACACTCGTCGGCCGCCGTCGCCACATACATAATGACATATTTTATTCATTCTAGAGTATATATCAGGTTTCTATGTCATATCAGGTTGTTATGTCATATCAGATGAACTGTGATAGATAAATAAGCCATATAGATGACATTAGCGAAATTATTCAAGAAGTAGTATTTTGTCCGGTCTCCAGATAAACTGTCGTCCACCGCCGACACTGCCCATACCACTACATGGATTACACATTTTATTCATTTTAGAGTATATATCAGGTTTCTATGTTATTTATATTGCTTATTATGTCATATTAGATCAAGTGAGATAGATAAATAAGCCGTAAAGTTGATATTAGCGAAATTATTGAAGTACAGAATTCCACTGGAACGGATTAATTGCATTTCAATTAATTTAAATGAGAAAAATTGAATCTGTAAACGAGCAAATCCAGTTGCGAGCAAGGTCATGGAATGGATTAAACTCGCAAGTAGAGATTCCACTATATAAGACGCTTAGATATTTTTCCAGATTCAGGAAGAGCTAAGTTTTAGTGAATGAAATGACTAATGGACTGTGCGTCAAAACTTACTGAATGAGTATAAGAGTGCAAGTATAGGTAAATAAAAGTATAAGAATAAACTAGTACAAGTACAAGAGTATAAGGAGTACAAGAGAACAAGAGTATAAGAGCATAAAATAAATATCAGTTTGCCTGAAATACACTGCATACTAGTGGCTATCTTTTATGCCTAACAACTATTTTATTACATGTAAACTACATTATACAGTGCAACCTTGACTTACGAGTGTCCCAACGTACGAATTTTTTGAGATACGAACCGTCCCTGGGTCGATTTTTTGCTCTGAGTTACAAGCCAACATTTGAGTCATGAGCCAGCTGCCCCCCTGCCCCCTCCTCCCCCTCAACCAAAACCTGGACACCTTGCTTGTTTATCTATGATTTCATGCTTTAATTCCATGGAAATCATTCTCTTTTTCTTATCAGCACTGTCCTTTACACTTACTTTCTTAGGACCCATGCTTAGAAAAACAAAATTTGGCCAAATGATTGTTAAAAATGTGAGCAAAGCAGGAGAGAACTGCAG